AAGTTCGACCGGGCGGATGAACGTGAGGATCGAGCACACAATCGCATTGTCGATGCATTTATGTCAGATGGCCATCCTGAATTTTATGGTCGGCTGCGGGTAATAGCCCGTCAAAACAAAGTCTTCGGTGTGCAGGTCGTCCAGCGTGGGTTTCCTCCCGATGACGAGCCGTGGTGGATCGTATGGCGTGCGCGAGATCTGCTCTTTCATGCCATCAACGTGATTCTTGTAGATGTGCGCATCGCCCATTGTGAAGATGAGCGATCCCGGATTCTTGTCCGTGATCCGCGCGATGAGGCACAGCAGCGCGGCATACGATGCGATGTTGAACGGCTATCCGAGCGCAACATCGACGCTGCGCATGTTGACGAGCAGATTCACGGTCGTGTGATCGGGGCTCACGTTGAACTGCATAAAGTTGTGGCAAGGCGGAAGCGCCATCTTGTTGAGATCCGACACGTTCCATGCCGAGACGATGTTCCGGCGGCTGCCCGGATCCTCGATGATGAGCCGAATCGCCTCGGCCATCTGATCGATGCCGTTTTCTTCACGGGTCTGTCGCTACTCAACCCCCAACATGGACAGGCGATATAGGAGGTCGTCACCGTCACACTCCCGTCGTGCTGCCAGTTCAACGTCTATCGGATGACGCGCGCCCCATCGCCTCCACTGATGGCCGTACCCCACCCCAATGTCGCCCTCGGGGAGGTGGTGGAGTCCGCGATCGTCGAGGAACTTGCGCGTCGTGTTGTCGCGCCAGATGTTGACCTTCTTGGCCTCGAGCTCCTTCGAGTCGGTGCTCCCGCGCAGGAACCACAACAGTTCCTCGAGCACGCCCCGCCAGAAGACGCGCTTGGTGGTCAACAGCGGAAAGCGCTCGCCGACGTTGTCGAACCGGATGCTGGGCGGTGCAAAGACCGAGATCGTGTCATCGCCGGTGCGCTCATCCGAGCGTTCTTGACCGTACTTGAGGATATAACTCGCCAGCGCGAGATAGGCGGACTCTCCTTCGTGCTGCGATTGCATTGCGTGTTGGTGCAACGCAGTCCACGCACACGTCGACCCATCCGGCCTATCGAGCCCCTTTCCCACAACCGTTCTCACACACACCCGTCACACGATGCTCAGGTCTCTGCTGTCGCCGCTGCTGCTGCTGTTGCTGCTGGTGCTATCGTTCCCCAGCGGAAACAGCGCGATCGACGTCGTCGAGAGAATCGTGCTGGCGTCCGGTCTTGGCGAAACGTCCGAGTTCGTCACCAGGCTGTCCGAGGCCTACGCCTACACCGACAAGGAAGTGCGCATACAGTACACAGCCGCGTCCTGTGCCGAGTTCGCCCTCGACCTCTTCGAGACGGGCCGCAGCGACACTGCGATACTGCCGTCCGCCATTCCGTCCGACAGCGATCGTGCGTCCTGGGCGCAAATTCCGCTGGCCCTCTATGGCATCGCTTGCGTCTACACACCAACCCACCGTCGCCACCCAACGACTTTGGCGAGTTCGGCCAGTTCGTGCTCGACGGCGAGACCACCGTCGGCGTCTGGGGCGGTTCCATCCCGTCATGGCAATCCGAGGCCATGATGAATCTCAACGGCTACGCCCAGATTCCGCTCGGTGACATAAAGCTCGTCGTACAGGGTTACGACGATCCGAAGGACGAGGCGGCCTCGATCACTGGCGTCTTTGGGCGCTACCTCGCGTCGCTCGATCCGTCGGGCATCGGTGCACCCTACGAAGCGCACGGTCGGATGCTGGCACCCACGATCGCGTCGCTCAACCCCAACCGCACCATCATAATCCCGCAACCGGCGTCCGGCATCGCCACGCCACAACTCACCGCCGAGGTGTTGAACGTCGGTGGAGCCATGGGCTACGCCACGTGGGGCGCGACGGTGCGCAGCGGCATCGCCTACGCGAGCGTCATCAACCAAGCCGGCAACTTCCTCACCAAGCCCGTCGCGTCCAGCTTGCAGTCGGCGCTCGCCGACTTTGGCGAGGCCATGCAGCCCAACAACATCAGCTCGCTTGTCCTCGACATTGTCAACGGACCCAGCATCAACTCGTGGCCCGCCTCCGGCATCATCTACGCCGCCATCCCCCTGGTCGTGTCGGATGCATCGGACTGCTCCTACATCGATTCGATGCTCACGCTGCTCGCCTGGAATCAGCTCAACGACGCCTCGGCCCAGCTCGTCTCAGCATCGCAGGAGGCCTTCCCGCTGTCGGTCAAGTTTGCCCACGCCACCCTCACCACGATCGCCTCGGTCACGTGCAAGGGCGGATCGGCCATAAGCACGTCGCTCATGATCGCCGGCGGTCGGCCCTCGCGCCTCGCCAGCATCCTCGCCGAGTCGTAAGATCCGACCGGCAGCACCATCCGCGCGGCGCTGTCCGATCTGGCCCAGGTCGATGTCATCGACCAAATGCGCACGGGCAACATCGATTTTGGCATCGTCGACACCGCCAGTATCGCCACCGATCTGTCGCGCAACATCACGACGCTGGTGCCCTTTGCCGCCAACGCCATCGTGCCGTCGTACAACCTGCCCGAGATCGCGTCGGGCTCGCTCGCCTTCTCGCCCCGCACCATCGCGTCGATCCTCGACAACGTCACCACCCACTGGAACGACACCGCCATCGCCAACGACAACCCGCGCCTGGCCCATTTGCTCCCCCACGCGCCCATCGTGTTTG